AAACATTAACAAAAAGAAAAAGAATCTAAATGAAATCAGATTTTATAGCCAAGACACATATATAAAAAAAAAAAAAATAATAGTTTTTAAATTTAAAATTCCCATTACTCACATCAACATAAACATAAATTTAGTCCAATGAAGTTGTAAAGGACAAAATACATCACATGGAAACTTTTTCCACTTTGTCAAATATATATATATATATATATATATATATATATATGACAGTCCAGCATTCTTCTCTTTGTTTCTAATGGATAACAAGGAAGTTTTGACAAAAATGAGGACACTTGTAAATTAGAATCCGAAAGTGACAGATGAAATTTCTGGATCATATAATGAGGAGAGTGGGTTTGGAGAATTTGACACTTACAGCACATATTGAAGGCAAAAGGAGCAAAAGTGAATAACCTACTTAGCAGGTTTGTGTAAATGGATGGTAGAATAAGGACTGGGAAGGGTAGACAAACGTTGCCTAGAGCTACAAAGGATAAGAAGTTGTGGAAACCATATCTTGAAGGTGTGTGGCAGATAAAGGGGTAAACAACAGTAAAGAAATTCATGGGTGGGGCTTGCTCATAATCTTTCCTCACTAAGCTGTGCATAGTTTTGGTACAAAATATGGAAAATCAAACATTACTTAGTAGACTAGCTTGTTAATGATAAGGTGCCCAAAATTGTTTGCTTTTTTGTAGAAAGGCAGTTTTCAATATATTTAAGAGCTTTTGAACTTGTTTATAGATTCATATTAGGACATTAAAATTGTTCTAGATTTATTAGGTATTCAATACAATTATTATAACACTCGTTTTAAACCTGTGAAAATTTCACGGTTTTTCTATTTTAATATTCTGAAAAATCCTAATTCTTAATTCTGTGACAATAAAATATCTGTAGAAATGCCCCTATTGCATCGTTAAATGAATGCTAGTCATTATTTTAAAAAGTGGGTAAAAATGAAAAGATTTTAAATTGACAACTTTTTCCATTCCACTGAAACAGCCGTTAAACACTTCTTCCCTTCTTTTTTTCTTTCATTCATTTTCTCACTGAAATCAAAACAGAATAGTCCTATTACTTATGAGGTATCTGTCTATATCACTGAGATGAGGTATTATGATTACTTACATTAATTACATTATTCGGACTGTTATCCTCATCTTCACTGCCACATACACAACGTTTCGGTCATTGGGATCTTAAACTGAACCCTTTATTTCATTCACTGGGGTAGATTGTTCTAGTTCCACATGCCATGCCCCTTCCGGATGTTTCAGTTATTTCCCTTTAACTTAACTCTCCAAATTTTGGTTCACTACTGCTGTGGCCTGGTATTGAATTCACAACTCTTTGGGTCTAGTCCCTGGATCTAACCAACATCTTCATCCATGGACACGTGTACTTACGAGTTACTGGCAGTGTGTAACGGTCGTGTGAACTAACGAAGGAAGAGACAAGCACAATAGGAAGTTAAACTTACTTAAATGGCAGAAATACCCAATGTTCATTTAAGGATTTCATTGAATATCCCTCTAACCATTCAGGGTTGAATTTTTTCAACCCAGCTAAAAAGTAAACCAGAAAGTTCTGAAAGAAAAACAAAAATAAATTACAAAAACACAGAACAAGAAATTAATCATCTTCTTCATAGAATTCCTATATTTACAGTTTTTTTAGATACAAAAACATAAACACTTGCATAAAAACATACATAATTGAATTATTTTATACATATTTAATTCTAACTAATTGTAAAAGAAAATAAGCCATATTAAATTTTTACCTGTATTGAAAACTGTTGTAACATAGGGAAGTTTACTGAATAGAATAATCACATGGAGGTTGGTAATTAACGATAATACTTAGGACATGAACAACATATATAAGATTTGCCAGCAGTGCATAGAAGTAGTAGTCAACTGCTAGAAGTGAGTCAAGTGAATTTCACAATGAATCTCCAACTGCAGAATATTTATGAAACCGCCCCACATGATCAAATGTGGCACAAGACCAAATTTAATGTGGGGGTATCCCAGCCCATATGCTCAGTCAAAAATTCCCCGTAGACCCTGTATAAAATGGAGTTAGGTAGCTGTTTTCCGAGACGAGACTCTGCCTTTCGGCATAGCCTTGTCTGGGGATCCTCTCTGCCCAGAGGCAGAGATTTTGACCAGCACAGCTGGAGATGAATCTCCAACTACAGACCAACATACAGTATTTACTACTGTATTTATGTGAATGGGGACATATCCATTATCGTCCATAGGTATGTTACAACAAAATTAGCCAAGCCTTCAGATTTAAAGTAGAAAAACTAAAGATAAACATAACACCTACCTGAGCTCGTAAAAGTGTATAATTCCATAATGGTACATGAGAGTTTCTTATTTTTGGCTGCAGTATTCCATCCAAAGACCTGAATTAGGATAAAATGAAAGAAAAAATCTCAAGGTCCAGATAGCCTGAACTAATTCATGTAGAATATTCTTAGTACAGAAACTATAATGATAAATGATTGATATGAAATATCTGAACAAAATAAGATGGAATACATGAAAACCAGTTGGTTGTTTAATTTTGTTTTTCTTGTTAACATTTTGTTCTTCATGAGTATTTTGAAAACTGAAAATATCTAAGGAAAAAATTATGACCATGGTAACGCAGCTACTAAAATTTAAGATCAAATATTCATGAACAAATCAATGAGAGTTTTACATAGGGAAATTTTTTAAAATAAATTGTAAATATGGTGATGTGATAAAAGAAAAAACAAATAAAAGTTATAAAATAAACTAAGAAACTATAATATGGTTTCAAACACTAATGTAGAGAAGTGGGGGCAGAGGACACGACGACCCTGGGTATCCATATCAGGAGGGCATCCAGTCAAAGAGTGAATTAAAAATTTACATTTTGAAATTTGAAATTGTTAACTTTGTTGTACAAGCACCCTACAGTCCTACAAGCAAATAATAATGAAAAAACAAAAATCCTTAAAAACTTTTATCTATATAAGCATAAAACAAGGAGAAAAACTTGGATGGAATCAAATCCGGCACAACAGAGAAAGATTCTTCAGCACCAATGATCACAAATGTTGTCAAACCAAATGCTGAGTAAAATATCAAAAACTTTTAAACATATATATGTGGACATTGAGGTCAATACCCAGTGCTGACAGTCTGTTTCATGCTTAAACAAAAACTTCAGCATGAAATAGACTGTCACTGCTGGGTGTTGACTTCAGTGTTCACCTTTATATTTATATATGTTTACCCCTGATATTGAGCATTTTAACCCATAGATATAGCATACCTTAAAACTATATTTTTATCACACACATATATATATATATGTGTGTGTGTGTGTGAGTGTAAATATATATATATATATATATATATATATATATATATATATATATATATTCTATATAAATTATAAATGAATTATATTTTAATTTTTTATACTATTGTTAAACCAATACAAGGCCCAAGAACCACTCAAGGTAGAGCATTACTGATTGAGATTGTTGCAAGTTTGTAAAAGGAATAAGAAGTGCATATCATGAGGATATGTACCATAGTTAACCATTGACCCTACACTTGAAGAGATTAAGATCATAGCGATCGGGAAAGCAACCTCGGGGGAGTCTGTTCCACAAAGCAACATTTCTGATGAAGAAGTTGTCTGAGTGGAACTTTCTTGTAACAGAAAAAACATACATATCTCCAATAATTTCATCACTGAGAAAAAACACAGATATCTACATGTGCAGCAAATTTGGACTGAAGTAAAATTTCTTGATACATTGAGATCTACATGCATCATATATGTATTTTTAAACTTTAGCACTATTTATGAGCAGTACTTCCTCTTCCAATCTACAATGTCACTGAGAAGTGCTTGTTGTGAACTGTTTGGTGAATAAAGAAAGATAAATTATTTTTACTTACCAATATCGGTTGGCATCCATAAAATTAAACATAATGGCATGCAATCCGTACAAGTAAGAATGGTTGTTCCACTTGGATTTATCCAGAAGGAACAAGTACCAATAGGACAACATGAACATGAAGCAGCCAATACGATAAAATAAACCCACCATCAGCAAAAAAGCCCCTATAAAATAAAAATATATATTAGGTGTGTGCAACAGTTGCCAGTATTTTTTTCTTGAAGACTAGAGATTGAAAAAACAAAGCTGGAAAACATTTTTTTGACGGAAACCTTTGAATGTAACTAATAAATTGACATTTATAGGATGCATAGGATTTTATGATATACCAGAGAAATAACAAGCAAAAATAATATATTCTCATTACAATATAACAGTAAATGAATGTTTTTCTCTTTGAACTCATTTTAATGCATTATGTAAACTTCTTCAATAAAAGATAATTCTCCTGCATGCAAACATACTTTTGTTTCAAAGTATTAATCAATTAAATTTGCCAATTTGTGCAAAAGAAAAACAGCTGCTGAATTTATGGAAAACAAAGTGTTATGTTAATTCAATATTTTTTTCCTTTGTTTCTTTTTATTTTCTCAAAAGACAACTAAATTTTCTTTAATTTAAAGTGATCAAGATTTGGTTAAGAAAACTTTTGTTTCCTGTCAACAACTTCCACTTTCTTTTCATGCAACTATTAAAAAAAGGAAGCTGTTCAACAGAATAACGGGTTTTTTTATAGTGTTGCAGGCACTACCTCTGTTTAAACTAAAAGCAGTGGCAGCAATATTTTGCGCATATAAATGACTGGATGCAAGGAAATGGAAGACAATTTCAACAAGGTGATAGTCTATATTTTTTTGTTTTTATATAACTGAGTAAAAAGAGAGAAATTACACAGTATACATCCAAAAGAAAGAAGGTATTGAAAATTGGGAATTGTATGTGTGTGTTAGTGAGAGAGAGAGAGAGAGAGAGAGAGAGTTCAGTTGCTAAGGAGAAAGATATCCCCATACCAAGAAACAAAGTTCCAGTGGTGTTATCAGTAAAGCATCACAGTTGAATCACTACATGCTAATACCTTTGGGAAAGGTATGAATCCTCTTCTTCTATCCCCAGCTATAGGTAAATAGCAGGACAAACTGGGTTCTATAGCCTTGGATGGCAACTGGTCTACCACAGAAAGAAATGCCAACCTACTGTGGGAAAAAATCTGCCTTGTCAGTCATGTATTGAAAGATACATGATCGCCTAAGCATGTATCACGCATGGCACATAACTGACTGATGCTAAGAAGAAAAGAGAGTGATGACAGGAAGTATTCTGTTTCTATAGGTGCATAACAGCACTCTCTACTGACTTCTTGTCAAAACTGGCATAGCTATGTGGAGATAATCCCCAATAGCTATCTGCAATAAAAGTACTTCTTTCTATTTGTAAATTAAAAGCTAATTTATTGGTTGTCCTAATCATTTTAATTAATATATATGTATATATATATATAGTAAGGTAATGAAGGGTTTGTTAATCTGTGTGGATAATTCCAAAGAGGTTGTGATCCAGAAAGCTCAATGTAAAACCAGAGCAAATATTAATTAAATAATGAGGAAATAGACAACCTTAAGTTTCCATGACTATAATTTATTTCCCTAGAAAATATATTTTTCCTGGTTCATCAGGTCACATCATTAAAAATGTATTATATATATATATATATATATATATATATATATATATATGACAATCTATAGTTTTAAGGTATCCTATATTTATAGGGTAAAAGTGTTTAATATCTAGGATAGTGTGAATATAAAATATAAGAAGTGTGGAGACTGATGTCAACACCGAGCAGCAAAAGTCTGGTTCATGTTTGAATATAATATTCAGGCCTGAGATAATGATCTGATGATCACATTAAGCATGAAACTGACAATCATCATACAATGTTGATTCCTATGTCCACACTGTGTGATTGTGTGTGTGTGACATCAAGTATGCTGAGGAAGAATGTAGTTTTAAAAACAGGAGGTAAAATTTCAATAACAATGACAGTATATGGATTATACTCAATATGGTATAATATAAATAATGGAAATATTCTGTTTCTGATTCTCTTGCTATAAGAAGGATGTTTACAAGTTAGCATATTAAATCCTGAGAAGCTTTAAATATAAGTTGGAATGTATATCAAGTAGAAGTTGGTGAACTCGATGTAGCTGCTTGTAGATTACAGGACCAGATTGATTTTTTTCTGTGTTAGAATGGTGGCTGTATTTTTTTTATATTAGTAGATAGGATCCTAAGTACATTCAGCACAGCTAATTCTAACTGGTTGAAAATTATAGAAAATCTTTTTCTGTATTGGCTTCTGATATGAATAGACTGAGATAAATAGGTCAATGTATAAAATAGATAGATAGATAGATGAGCAGTTCAAAAATAATGCTTTCTATTCATATCTATGGAAATTGACAAGAGATATAGGGAACACACAAGATAGGACTAGTTTTCAGCTACAAATACAAAAACTATGTTGCCAGACTGCTATTCAACTGCTCTCTGTAACAAGACAAATAAAATTATGGGTTATTAGCAGGAAGGTTCAACCTCTACTGCCATATGACCAACACCAGTTTTTGACATTGTGAATCATTATAATAAAATAGCAGGTATTGCTTTCAGAGATAGATAGATAGATAGATAGATTTGAAGAAACTTAGCAGAGAGATGCATAACAACTGGGTTAGAAAATGGAATGGATTTTAATACAGGAAATGTAGGAAAGTTATCTAATAAAGATGTAATCAATACATTGAGATACAATCCAGTTTTTGTTGCCAGCGATACATAACCACATAACTTCATAAATTTTTTAATAACTTTAATAATAATAATAATGATTGCCATAATTCTTCCAATATTTTTCAACTCTTAAGAGAAGGCCATGATTTAAGAAAAGAAAAACACAATGTTTGACAATGTTAAACAATATTTCAAGAGTCTGTCTTCTTCAAGTTATATTTTAAAATTCTTTTTAAGTATAAAAATATATAAGTCTACAAAAAATGATAAGTCTTTCTACAAACATTGTTTGTCTTGTAATGAAAAAATGGCTGTACTGGTAATGAACACATCAAAATGAATGAAATGCTGCCAGCATGAAAGCATAAAACTGAAATGTACATAATATGATGGTGATCTTGCTAATCTTGGAATTTTCCGCTAATTAGTTACTAAGAAGAATGAACCAAACATCTTAGTATAAATCTTATGGAACTCTCCTGTCATTCTGTTTGTGCCCCCAGGTCAGGAAGTTAGTAATTTGCATACGTAACTAACCTCAGGCATTTTAAGGGTCAAGAGATTGGTAGATTCAGAATATTTTTTCAGAATGTGCTTGTCAAAATTAAAGTCATTTGTAATAAAATGTTCTGCAAGCTCTGTTGATGTCACATTGTTGTGTCTGACATCATACCTGTGTCAATTGAATCCTTTATTTAATTTTTCCATTGTGCAACCCACATAAATCAAGTCATGTTTGGTACATTGGGTGGCATCTATTAAATGGAAATAAATACAATTGACACTAAGTGTTTGTAATATTGTCAAACACTGTGTTTTTTCTTTTATTAAATCATGCTCTTCTCTTACGTGTGTAATAATAATAATAACAACAATAACAGTTACAACAATGAACAGAACCTTTGGCAATTCCAACATGTTACTATTGAGGAATACAAAACAAAAAAACATCCATATACTTTAATAATGCAAAACAAGAAAAAGTTGTATTATTGAAAATTATAACTTATTTATGCATTTCCTTGCAATAAAAACTTTTTTTTAATCATTTCACCCTAAGCAAGGCAATAATGCCACTAATACGCAGGAGGTTACAAGTGAAGATAAGAAAAAAACTGGGTATAGGGGGGAATGAGGAAAGGATAAAAGATGAATGGAGTTCAAGAATATAGATGACAATTGACATTTCATTTAAATTTTTAAACATTGTAGTTATCAGAGAAGCAAAGAAATGGAAGGGTGTTCCACAGGTGGGAAGTGCGAGATAAGAAACTGTTGGAGAAGTGGCAGAGGGAAGTCAAGTTACATCAGTGAGAAAGTGACCTAAGTCAAGATGCCAAGTCAGGATTGATTAAATTGTAAATCCTTCTTTGGATTTTGTCAAGAACCTCAAGATGAGTAGCAGGAGCACCAGACCAGACATGGCAACAGTATTCAATGCACAGACGAATGGTAGATTTGTAAATGTGCAAGATAGACTATGACGAGAAAAACCTTCTGGCATGACAGAGTGATTCAACTTTTCTTGCAGTCAATGCAGCTATTGATTTGATGTAGTCTTTCCATTTTAAGTCAGTTGAAAACATGATGCCAAGAAGGCACAGTGTGTTGCTCTCCTGGAGTCTAGCATCAGAGCCAGGCCTGATGGTGGGCAGGAAAGTTTCTCTATAGTAGTTAACTGAGAGCAAGTTTGTTTTGGAGGTATTAAGATTTACGAGCCATTTCCTGAACCATTTAACCACAGATTGGAGGTTCTTTTCAAGAGTAATGGTCAGGTTAACTTTGTCAGCTCTGATGGATTTGCTATTGAGACAGCAGTAAATACCTACTTGGGAACTGATGACATCAGGAAGATCATTGATGAAGATCAGAAACAGTGTAAAACCCAGGATAGAGCCTTTGAGGACACCCACATTCATGTGAAAAGATCCAAAAGCAAGCCCATTCAAAACTACCTTCATTTCACAATTTGATGGTAATGATTGGATTAAATCAAACAATCATCCTGTAATATCATAGCCTTGAAGCTTACATAGAAGACCAGCATGCCAAACCTTGTCAAATGCCTTCACTGTTATTATCAAGAGCTTGATATACATATTCAGTGATGGCTGTTAGCATATCAGTGATAAACCTGGGAAAACAGAAGCCATATTGTTTGTCAGAGAGTAGGTCATGAGAGGTAAGAAGCCTAACTACTTTGGCATTGATCAAAGCTTCAAATACTTTGCCAAAAAGCGGTAGGAGACTAATAGAGCGAGAATATTTAATTTTCAGGAATTAAAAAAAAATATTTCCAGTCTTCTGCCTTGCCATTTTTCTTTGCTTGACTGAAAATTTGGCTGCAGAAAAGCAACAGTGTTGTTTGTGGCTGAATAATAATTTGAATAAATATATTCTAATGTTGCTGAAATGTTGAATAATCATTTTTTTTATTGTTATTAAATAATAGTTCTTCTATCCAAAAAATTAATGGATCTATAAGTTTTAAGGTAACTGGTAACAGTTCTCAGAGAATAGATTTTAAGAATGCCACATATGTTGGTAGGTATTAATGAGTACATCTGATAATTCAAAGAACTACTTTGGAGAGTTTCATGCAGAAAAAAAAAGTTATAGAGGAGGGGAAAGAAGATTGACATATTTGGGTTAAACAAAATGTTTTTTGGGGAGAGCAATAAATAGCATTAGGATCATTCAGTTTTAATTAACTTCAACCAAATTATTGTCTTTGATTGGGAGAGCTCTCATATTAGAATTCTTTTTTAAAAACTTAGTCATGGTAAGTTTTCATGCATTTACCCTATTCACCAGATATTATACTTTCAAATTACCATCCATGACAGTCTTTAAAAAATAATATAAATGAAAAAAAAAGATGCTCTGGAAGAACACAGTAGGCATTTAGAATAGTTCTTTGCTAAGAAAGATAAAAAGAAAGGCTCTGGGAGTATGGTGTAGTATGCGATTCACACCAGGAAATACCAGAAATCTGAATTGAATTTAATATATATCAGGAGACTTTGATCTAAGAGGAGTTGATCTGTGGTGACCCATATATATACTGGGTTCAAGATAAGTGATAACAAAATAAGCTTTGTACTCAATGTCAGCTCGGACATCAAAAGAGCTAGATGTCTTAGAGGATCAACCTGAAAAGTAACCTCATAGCTACCAAGTGCAGAATTGAACCTCAAAGGATGTCAGTGGGTGTACTAGCATAAACAGGAAATCAACCCAACTTAACTTCGGATATACTCACACAAGACAACCAGATCCACCAGGAAAAGACAGAATCTATTGGATCCTAAATAAAAAGATTCAATGCTTGAAGAAAGTCCCTGCGATCACATACCCTTCACAGCCAACATTAATTTGATAGAGTTCAGAATTGAATAAACAATTATTTTAAGTATGAAAGCTTTCATTTCATATTCTTACCAGATATTACTAACATAGGATTACAATGGAATAATGAAGTTGGTTGAATGATAGCAGAGAATCATGGAAGAAAACGGTATGTTGCTCAGTATAATTAATATTCCAAATGAAAAATGTTTTTATATTAATTTAATAATCCTCTCCAGTCCAATATAGGTGTATACTTACCAACCCACATTGTGAAATAGATCACATACATCCATTCCAAGGAAAGTGGTTTCATAAAATTAAAAAGAGGGAAGTTACACATTTCACTGTTACCCCATTTCTCATCAACATAACCCAACCCCCGTTCCTGGGGGACATCCAGCAACATCAGGAACCCTAAATGGAAAAAAAAAGAAGAAAGTCAGAATTGTGTTTTGGTTTTCTTTGAATAGTGGGAATGTGTAGGAGACATGTCTACTTGAGATTTATTGCTCAAAAATACAGCAATTGTGGCACAAGGCCAAAAAGAGGAATGGGATGAGGCTGGTCGTCACTAACTATCTTATACCTAGCTAATCCTATTCATGAACCATTCATTCATTACAATTTATACATCCACCATAAAATCTCGTCCGTCATCATTCAATCCTCCATACACAAAATACTGCATACACACAGGGGAACCTATAAAAACAACCCATGACATAAAAAGTTATAAAAATATATATAAAAATTTATCAATAAGCAATGAGTGGGGTGGGAATGAACCCAAAATCAAACTAAAATATAACAAAACATGCAAACTAAAAATAATTGATATTAGTAGAACCTGTCCAACCCTCAAAAAAAAATGAGAAAGATCGCTGTATTTTGTCTACAGACAAAATCAAGAGGCTCTCTTGTTAAGGGAGAGGGAAAGATAAAATAAATACAGACATGGGGGAAAAAAAACTGACCCAGTTGAGATGAAAAAGGGAGACCAAAAAAAAAAATGGGGAGTTTGGGAATCTCGGCTTGGATTATAACCAAAGAAGCTGGGAAAAGGCCAGGAACAACATTTACACACATTAACTAAGTACACAAGAAGGGTCTATCCTAACCAGGGGGAGAACTCCACAGGAAACCGCACCAATGTGTCTTAGGGAAACTTAAAAAATAAAATCAAGGCTAACTCCATTCACGTGAACCAGGCTTGCCACAGTCACCCATGTTTTGTTAAAATCTGTTGATACCAGACGCTTTCTATCTTCAACCTGGGAGGCATGTTTACTCTAGGTTAAGTCAGTTTCAAAGTTTGTTACATACATAATGTAAAGTTGCTCCTCACTCGATGCTTCCTTGTTATGGCCTTGTGTCAGGCTAAGCTGCACTTGTTAAATATCTACATATTGTGTGTCTATATATAATGTTTATAATAATAAAGGTTGTATTTTGGGGAAAAAAGGTCAGGGGATGACCTTTTTTTTAGGCAAGAGATCTTTACAATTAGAATGCTCAGTATTAAATATTAAGAAATTGGCCATTAATAACGACAAATAAAATTAAAATTTCAACTTATTTTTTCCCTAACAGGCAGATAGCATATCTGGGAAACTTAGAGTCAGGAAGATAAGCTGAACATTTCATCTTAATTTTATTTGTTGCTATAATGTATGTATGTAGTTTTATGTTTTAATGCTTTCAACAGTTAAACAAAAAGGTTAAACAGTTAACAAAACCATTAATCTTTAAACTAAAAGATTAAATAGAGCTAATCCATCCCTTAGTTTCTTAATCCCCAGATTTATAATCTGACAATGTGGATACAGATTTTATTTTATATATATATATATATATATATATATATATATATATATATATATATATATATATATATATACACAAAGAGTGTGTTGGGTAAATTGTCACCATTTTACTTTCTTAATTTTGTGCATGTGCGTTGTTTGTTTTTGATCTTGTCAACTGCACAGAGTCAGTTGGGTACTGTCTGTGAGAAAAAGAGTACCATGATGCAATTCACTCCACCAGAAAGTGGAAACAGCATGCTGTAATGCTTGACATTTGCGCCATAAGCTCCAATACAAACATGTCAATCTGAGGACAGTGCAGAGGATTTGGAAAGAGTTGGATGAGTCTAATGATGATTACAAAGGTATGGCAGCTTGGAAAACTTACTCTGATCATTCTGATAAGAAAAGAACTCCCAAATTTGTTGGACCTCAGACTCAACACAAAGGCCTACATCAAGTGACTTGAAGAGGTAATGCTGTCATGGGTCAAAAGGGTGGCTGCTAGAAGAACCTATGTCTGGCAACAGGATTCTGCACCATGCCACACAAGCAGGAGAACCCAGTCATAGCTGTCAGACAATGTCTGTGACCACATCATCCCTTACATATGGTCATGTATCTCCCCAGACTGCCTTGATTATTATGTATTGGGTGTTGTTGAGCAAGAGACCAACAAAACTCTTTGTAAGACCAAAAATGTGCTGAATGCAACGATTATGGCAGCATTCACCAACAAGGAGACTGTCCAGAAGAGTTGCAGGAAATTCTGAAGTCATCTGGAGGCTATGGCTGAAGCCAATGGAAATTTTATTGAGTAATTTTACACTTTAGTATTTTAAGATATTTTTGTGTAATTTTGGTAAATATATCTGTTAAAATGAGATGTCAGTGTTATTTTCATTTTTGCATAATTTAGACGACAATTTATCCATCGCACCCTGTGTGTGCGTGTGTGTGTGTATATATATATATATATATATATATATATATATATATATATATATATATATATATATATAGTTTTAATATATGTCATATTTATCAGTAAAAGTGTTCAATATTAGAGATAAAGTATATGTTGGTTGGGTGATTTTGTTTAGTAGCATAGTAACTATTAGCAACCTCTAATTATTAGTTATTTAATGCCAAAATCTAAATATTTTGGACATAATTTTTATGCTTTCAACTATTTTATACTTTCAGAGTAAAGATATCTTTTTAGATATATGCTTTGTAAATCATAAAATATATTGATGTTAATTTATACTATAAAAATGTATTTTTATATTGTTTTAGTGTTGCATTGATTGTCATTTTGCCATAAAAATGTATTATTGCTTATAAAAAAAATTTTGTTTGGGAGTTCACTATTTGCCCATGGTTGGCACCCTAAAAGGTGCAACTACCCTGGGTCAGGGTACATCTGGGAACAACAGGTGTTAAGTCCACACTCCTCAAAACCTCCAATCTCCTGATTGGAAACCTCTCTGCTGGATATAGATTGTATGTAAATATGTATATATACATATATAAAGTGAAAGAGAAAGATAGACATAAATATATAGATTTGTATGTAATATCAATTAAACCAATAAGGTTAAAATTATCATACCATTGTAAAAAAAATGTAAAGAATAAAGAAAGTGTACACTGTTTGAATTAAATTTGTATGTATATATGGGTGTGTGGTCAAGTGGATCATGAGACCTGGGTTCAAATTTCACCATAGTTAACCCTAGAACACTAACCATCAATTAAAGTTACACCACTACTAACAATGGGTATATCATACCCGATTTTGAAAATATCAAAAAAAAATATTAAATATAAATCTTTATTTGAAATATTTTACATGTAGGCACTTCAAACTTTGTGCTTTGAGTTAACATCAATAGGAACTGAAAAACATATTATATAGGTAAGAAAATCAGGTACTGAAAATTGTAATTAAAAATATGAAAATTTGCACTGGGTACTATATACCCATGGTTAGTGTTCTAGGGTTATTTGTCAGGAAGATGACCTTGATGCTATCAGTCTGGGGAGGTGATCCCAGTATGCTACCACATTGGAAAGTACCTGAAAACTATATCATGGGTTGATCCAAAGCTTGTAAGTGAAATTGGACAGACAGAACTATTTGGAAGCCATTAAAGATTGTGCTAACACAAAGTCACATACTGGCATTGTTCAAACTGCTGCTCATGACAGGTTATGTGTTCTCTCCTAGAAAACTATAACTAAGGTCTGCTCAATATAATTCTTACTGGAAATTTCTACATTATTGAGCATTAATTATTAAGTCGAGTAGGTTCTTATTTTTGTCTAAATTTCTGAGATGAGGCATTATGTACACTATTTACATTATTCAGTCTATTGTCCTCATCTTTGTCGCCATATTCATCACAACGTTTCGACCGTTGTACGCTCCTGCCTTCTTCCAACCACCCGAAGAAGACCAGAGTATACAACAGTTAAAATGTTGTGATGGCGACAAAGATGAGGACAATAGTCCGAATAATGTAAATAGTGTTCTTATTTTGGCTTTTACTTTTTCTCTACCACCTGAGGTCTGTTTTTTTTTGCTTTTGTTGTTTCCAATGTTTCATTTGGTTTATATATATATATATATATATATATATATATACATATATATATATATATATATATATATATATATATATGTGTGTGTATATATTGTCTATATATCAAATAATTAAACAATTTAAAATAATTGTTTGGACTTAGTAATTTCATATATATATACATATATATATATATATATATATATATATATATATATATATATATATATATATATATATATAAAATTTAAATTTCAAGAGGATAAAATCCAGGTAGAACTCAATGTCCAGGACAGTACTCTCTACAGCTTTCATACATTTCTCTCTCACACTTGTTTCCCACTCCCACACATACACTCTCACTAAAATTTTGTTTTTTTATACCTGGATTTATATTTTCCGATTTTTTTTTGAATTTGTAGGTCTGATGAATTGGATCATGATTACAATTCCAATGTAATAAATTATAACCATAGAATATTAGTGTTTAAGCCTTTTTTATTATATATATATATATATATATATGGGAGGGGTGTCTACTAGATTTCCTTTATGAATCTCAGTGACAAATTTTAAACCAAAGCTGAGGTCTTCCCATATGAAAACAAATCATGGTATAGACCAATGTTTTCTCAGACGTTTTTTTTTTCTTTTACTTCAGGCCACACTTGTAGAATAATTAAAACTCTTGAGCACACTTTAAATTTTAATAAGGAAAAATTAAGCATGAAATTTGAAAATTCAATTTTTTTTATAGAAGCCAATAATAACTAATTTAAATGCTTTTGTTCTTTTTGTCATAATAAAATTTCTAATAAAAAATCATATTTCACTTTTTCTTAACCATGTATAATAATTTACTCTTATTTAAAGTACAAAACAACTACTATTTGAAACAATTTAAAAAATTACCAAGGGTTTCCTCAAACTTTTGAACTGTAGTGTATGTAGATGTGTGTGTGTGTGTGTGTGTGTGTGTGTGATATCTTTGCAAGAGTCAAGTATTGCTGCCATATCTGGTTTGGACTGCCTATTTATTTGTGACTTTGTGCATGACCTGAATTGTTAACAGTATAACCACAAAAGCAAAATTTATTTCAGACAAGCAAAATTATTTGTCTTAGCCATCATAAGCCTGATGATGATATTGGAAAATATTAAAAGTACCCAGGAAAAATAAAAATGAATAAATATAACCACAGTACCTTTTTTGTCTTTAATTATGAAACAAGAAAGCTTATACGTGATTATGAAAGGATTTTGCTGAAAATAAACAAACACAACACGTCTAAATTGTTTAATCAGACATGCTAAAATGCTGCCAAAATATACAGTATATATATATATATATATATATATATATATATATGCACAGGTATGCAGAAAATAGAAAAGAACACGTTGGGTGCATAATCTAGAGTTCCTTAGTATTTTTGTTTAAAAATATGATTCCTTCAGCTACATAAGAGTTCTCATGTTTCAAAAACGAGAGCCGAAACCATCCAAATAATTATTAAAATTAAGTTGAATTAAGGTGTTTAGTCCCATTTCATCTTCAAGCTAAAATTTAGGAATAAGCTATCTCTTGGTTTACATGTGTTTTTAAGCATGGTTCATTGTAAAATTCGTTATTGTGGGAGTTGCTAGGCGAGTCATTCATTATTGTGGGAGTGGCTAGGTGAGTCAACTTAATTTTGATAATTATTTGGATGGTTTCGCTCTCGTTTTTGAAACATGAGAACTCTTATGTATGGAAGGAATCATATTTTTAAACAAAAAAATTATTATTATATATATATATATATATATATATATATATATATATATATATATATTTATTAAAAATATGCTATACACTCACTCCTCACTTAACAACCAGTTTCCATTCCAAGGACCTGATCCCTAAACAATTTTTTTTGAAGAAGGAGAAAACAATTACAATCAAAGTTTTGTACAATACTGACTGGTTGGATTTTATATATACACTCAACTCTCCCGTTGAATTTGACATATGAGGGTCAAGCAGATCAGTTCCTAGGAAACCGACAACCCAACAACAGCACATGAGATTTGATTATAGTGGTGAAGGTTTCGTGCAGGACCATCCACACTTTTTGAAGGGCCGAATACAGAGACTTGGTGCACTACATGCCACAGGGTCCCCAAAAGACCTTCTGCAGGTTTTGAATTCAGAGTTGTCCTTCTAGACCAGTTGCCATCCAAAGCTATAGAACCCAGTCTGTCCTGCTATTTACCCATAGCTGGAGGGAGAAGAGTATTCACACCTTTCCCAAGGGTATTAGCACATAAGTGAATGTAATGGATTCAACTGCAATTTGAACTCAGCTCTCCGATTCCTCAATCCAAGCTGCTATCCATTACTTCACCGTGCCTCCAATGAGATAGCAATATCAGGAATAGAGTGTATGTAAATATAAAGGTGGACAATGAGATCAACTCTGAGCGAAGACAGTCTGTTTCATTCTTGGTTGCAATCTTCAGGTCATGGCTGTGCCCAATTTATATATATATATATATATATATATATATATATATATATATATATATATATATATATATACAAAACTTGTGATGTGACTAAGCAGAAATAAACTCTTGAAATGAGATAGAAAATTATAAAACATTTCGTGATTATAATATTAGCAAATCATAATTATTAAAAATTAAGTAGTCAACCAAAGCTAACAAATCTATAGTTGCAAAATGAATTCGATTTTATATATATTCAGTTTTATTAATGCTATAAATTCTAGAAAGTTGGACAAATTATTTATGCTTCATATGGTTATGATATTCATTTATACAGTATATAAATATTGGTAAATATATTTACACAGTATAAAAATATTGGTAAATATAATTATACAGTGTGCAAATATCAGTAAATATTAATAAAAAGGGCAAAGGAAAACAGCCTTACCAAAAAGGAACCGAACCACTCCAAGAGATGCAGAATCAGTTGGACGATTTAACAGTGCCATAAATCTGGAAGGACTGGAAAAGTCTGAAAATTTAAATCCAATCAGCTTCTCTATTCTAGTTTTCAAGTTTGTTGTTTCCATTTTAGCTGTTTCTGGAGATTTAAAAGTCTTGGACTCCATGATGGAGCCTTCTGTAAAATAAAAGAGAAAGAGGAGTCAAATTTATTTATTGAATACAATTTGCTTCCATTTAGTTCCTTGTTTAATATATTTTCTAACAAATTTTAAATATGTTACATCTTAAATTTGATATTAAGATATATTTACAAAGATTTTGAAATATAAGGTTTCCTTGGTTGTATTTTAGGATGTTATTTATATGATAAAGGTACCAGGATGAATGCTAATTAGAAAGGATCCATATCCTCATGCCTTGGAGGAAACCCTCCCTGATTGACCATGTCTTCAGGAGTGTAGCCATACTCACCATGCTTGGGCAATTGTGCATTGGTGAGGCTAGTTAACCCATAACTAGAGGTTTCAAAATTCAGAGTTATCCTTCTCTTTGACCAGTTGCTGCCCAAAGCCATCAGCAGGACGACAAAATTAAATAATTTCCTTCCTTTTATTTATTAAATTTTATTCATGTTTATTGAATTCTATCATTTGTAGCAATTGTTATCATTCAGATATAAATGATATAAGATAAACACCATACTACCAAAATATATATGGGAATTCAAAATGAAACAAAAAACGCAATTAGTAGAAAGGTATATATCAATTATATTAGTAGAATGGTATAGATCAATTATATTAGTAGAATGGTATATATCAATTATATTAGTAGAATGATATAGATCAATTATATTAGCAGAATAGTATAGATCAATTATATTAGTGGAATAGTATATATCAATTATATTAGCAGAATGGTATAGATCAATTTTATTAGCAGAATAATATATATCAGCTATATTAGTAAAATAGTATATACAAATTATAATATTGGAATGGTATATGTCAATTATATTAGTAGAATGGTATATATCAGTTATAGTTCAAGAATGATATATATAAATTATACTAGTAGAATGATATATACCAATAATATTAGTAGACTGGTATATATTATTATCAGTTATATTAGTAGAATAGTATATTATATTATTATCAGTTATATTAGTAGAATAGTATATCTTAAAAAGATAAAGAGAATCTGAGAAAAAAACAGAAATCTATTCATGGAGAAGCTACAAATTACACATTTGCAATTATTTATTTTGTACAGATTAACCTTCCTACACTGCATTTTCTACCTTTGGCCTTGTACCAAACTTATCTAAATTTGCTTAATGTTTTTATATTTATTTATTATTTTAATCCTCATTGTTGCTGTTGAGGTAGACTGTTCTAGTTCCACGTGCCATGTTCAATGGATGTCAATTATCAGTTATCTCCTGTTAATTCCCCTCTGAAAATTCTCCACTGCCTTAACTGGGTATTGAACTCACACTCCTTTGGGTCTTGTCACTGGATCTAACACCATTATCCACCGTACCATGGCACATGGAACTAGAACAGTCAAACCCAGTGAGCGAAATAAAGGGTTCGGTTCGACATTCCAACCACCTGAAGAAGGCTAGAGCATACAACAGTTAAAACGTTGTAATAAATATGGTGACAAAGATGAGGACAATAGTCCAAATAATGTAAATAGTGTATCTTTAATATTTACTGGGAAAAGGTATCACTCATAATTCAAATCAAGCCTACTCTGTGGATTTGTCACTTCCAAATTCCAAATTGGAGACACTAAATCAAGAAAATACAATAATTCAAATATTTGGGAAGTATTTTAACAGATGATGGAAAGTGCAATACTGAAATCTGAATGTACATTGAGATAGTGAAAGATACCTTCCAAAAACTAAGCAAAGTAATAAGAGACAGGGAAATCTCATTAGAAAGGAAGAAAAGAGTATTGAACTTTTATGTAATATCAGTCTTTTTATATGGCAGTGAAATCTGAATAATCTCCTCTCAAAGGAGAAGTAAAAGAAATATGGTTCTACAGAAGGATGTTGAGGATACCATGGATTGAATATGTCAGCAACAATGAAGTTTTAGAGAAATTGGAAACAAAAAGGAAACTTATACTTAACATCAGGAAGAGACAGTTGAAATTTCTAGAGCACATAATGAGGAAAGAGGACTTGGAAAATTTAATACTCACAGGTCATACTAAAGGCAAGAGGGACAAGAGGAAAACAGCTAATGACCTAATGAGCTTGTGTAAATGGATGGCAAACAGGGTCTAAGAGAGATAGCAAAAAGACAAAACTTACTAAGAGCTACAAAAGACAGGAAATTATGGAGAGCCAACATCGCCAATTTTCTGAAGAGGCATGACACATAGGATAACTACAAAATAAATATTGATCAAGCAAATAGTGAGATAAATCTCTGAAATCATGCTTATGCATTTCCATAAATAATAAACCCTTTTGGACAGGCAGGTCATCTAAATGCCAAATATAAAATTATTTTCTTATGGGAATAACAACTTATGTGTAATGAAACTAATCTAAAAATACATGGTGTTGTATCTGTAGATATTATCATAACATGCAAACAGCACAAGAAATATTAGATGTTTTAAAATGTTCTTATTTAGAAGTAATGTCAAAATTTAAAATGTCATGGAAGTTAAGTGAAGTAGGTTAATTTACTTGTAAGACAAAAAGGACAAAGCAACACCAGTTGAAAGAAGAGAGGCTGTCAAAATAAAAGGCTTTAGATTTATGAGTTAATTAGAAATTGTTTGCTGACAAAGGAAGAACTGCAAGTGTCCAGGAAAAATGATGAGAGAATCCTTATGAATGCTGGGGGAAAAGATAATGAAAAAGCAAAAAAGGTCAAGGAAGTAATGAGAAGGACTTGGGAACTAAAAAAGGCAGGCAATGAGAGATCAGTGAATGAAAATAAGAAAAAACAAGAGAGAAGTATTAAATATATAATAGTCTAAGATTGTAGTGATTTCTGACCATTGACAAACCCCCTTTTTTCAATGTTAAAATTAGTGTACACTTTTATATTAATATACATACACAATTTTTATCATATACTATCAGTAGAGCCCAGCATTGCCCAGGGATGTAACAGTAAGAGATAGATCAAGTATCGACCATCATAAAGACTGAAAAATAAAATTGACAAAGATTATTGTTTAAGGTTGACGGACATGCATGTCTTAATTAGTTTTTTTTTTTTTTTTTTTTTACGAATTGGTCAAACCCAAACTCAAACAAAAACACTGTTTTCAATCATTATGAGTCTACCAATTGAATAGAATTTTATTATAAACAATTGTCTTGTAAATAGAATTTTTAAAGCATTCTGAATGTAAAAATAAAGAAAAAAGTGTGCAAGACAATAAGAAACACTACCTGCCAAAAAAAAGTGAAGTTTTGTTGAAATCGGTTGAAAAATGTAGGAAATCCGATCACATATATAAATGAACACACACACACAAACAACCTGGGTTTTATAAGTATAACTCGATATGAGTTGTCCCCCTTTCATTCTGGCGACAGAATCGTGTTTTATCATGTTTTCAAATTGATTTCGTGCAAAAACAATTGTGTTTTTCCAATTTTTGGTACTGTCAGAACCACTGCAAGGTAATTTTACATAGTCCTGTGAAGTTTTGTTGAAATTGATTGAAAAATGTAGGAAATCCGATCCAATATATAAATATACAGACACACACACACACACACAATCTGCATTTTATAATAAGTAAGATGTTGTGGAATAGTGGTTGGCAGTTTCAAGTGATTATTATCTATGCCCACACTGTTTATGTCTACAATGATAAGACAAACTTTGAAAGTGATCACAGTGTTAAGACATTGTCTCAAAGTGATCACAGTATCACAATGGGCCAATGTCTGAAAATGCTCACAGTGTTAAGACATTGTTTGAAAGTGATCACAATGTTAAGACAAAGTCTCAAAGTGATAGCAATGATAAGATAAAATCTTAACGGGATCACCAAAGACATTAATTCAAAGTGATTATAATTACAATACAATTCTCAAGGTGATCACAAACTTATGACTTTCTCAAATATAAAATATAAATCTTTTAGATTTTGTCATCCAAGAACAAGATGAATGTGGACTGAGTGGCCACGATTAAATAAAAAATAAATTATAGAACTGTCCAACAAACAAAATTTGCAATTAGCAATAACAAGAAAAAGAAAAGAACAGGACAAAAAAATAAGATAAAGCAAGCAGACAATATATGCAAGGCAAATTAACGGTAATATGGCAAAGCAACAATATGGTAAGAAGGTTACAAACTAAGAATTGGGGCTGACACAAGAACAATTTTGGACAAGCAAACGTAATGTTCTGACTTCAAGACACACTGGGACTGAGTCAGATGAAGCAGAGAACTGGCCTATTTTATTAGCTAGGAAAAAATCCCTGCATGCACTTGTGTGCTTCTTCCTATAAATTGGGGAGAGGAAGTGTTTAACAGGCTGGAATGCCTATTAAGCACTTCACCACTCCAGTTGAAACCAACGATAAGATACCCCGAGACGTGGACAATAAAACCAGAATAATCAACCCCAGTAGATTAAATAAAAGGTTCATTTTGAAATTCCTAAAAAAGGCCAGAGGGTACAGCAGCCAAAATGTTGTGATCATTCTAATCAGAACACCTGAATTTGTTGATGAAGGCCTCAGACTCAACACAAAGGCCTACATCAAGTGCCTTGAGGAAAGAGTGCTGCTTTGGGTCAACAGGCTGGCTGCTGGAAGACCCTATGTTTGACAACAAGATTCTGCACCATGCCACACAAACAGGAGAACCCAGTCATGGCTGTCAAACAATTTCTACAACCACATCATCCCTTACATCTGGCCACCTAACTCCCCAGACTGTAACCCCCTTGATTATTATGTATGGGGCACAGTTGAGCGAGAGACCAACAAAATTCCTTGTAAAACCAAAGATGAACTGAAGGTAAGGATTATGGCAGCATT